TCGATTAGATAATGAATGGGAGCGGCGGGTGAGAACGGTTCTTCAGAATAGACTTGTGTTAAGGATATTGGCAGGTTCCACTTAGCGAAAACACAAATAAGTTCACGGCATTCATTACACTATTTGATGTGTACAAATATAACAGGCTTCCGTTCGGGTGGAAGCAGTCAGGTGCATTTTTTTTAGAAAATCAGGAACCATGCACTGAAAGGTTTTGTTGGAAAGTTCTGTAGTGTGTTCGTTGACGACATCTTAGGAACTAGAGCCGACCATGCGATTCACTTTTCAGCAGTGCTGAAAGCTCTCAGTGATGCAGAAATAAAAATAAATGCAAAAAAGGGTTAGTTCTATGGCCGGACCGTAATATTTCTCGGCAAGCGCTTTGGAAAGACAAAAGCGTACCAAGGAAGAGAGCATGGCACGAATCAGGTTCCTTGCAAAGCCCCATGGTGTTTATTCCCTTTATGTGTTTTTAGGCCTTGCGGTACACTTCAGGCCATTTAAAAAAGACTACGCTAGTCTCACAAACTTAACACAAAAAAGCGTGCCGTTCATGTGGTCCGAAGAATGTGAACGGGCTTATTTGGAACTGGTTACTATAATTTTGTCTGACCCTGTGCTAACGCTTCCGGATTTCACGCTACCATTTGAGCTCTACACAGACACTTCACGCTATAGAACTGAAGCCGCTTTGTTTCAAAGAGATGTCAAGAAACTTGCGTCCTTACAACTGCAAGCAAGCGGCTATTTCTCTTACATGCTTACTTAGGCTCAAGTTAATTACTGCAAAATAGAGAAAGAAGCTCTAAGAGTTGTCATGGCCTTGAGATATTTCAGGACATACTTGGAAGGTAATGTTGTTCATCGATAACCAGGCTTTGACTGATCTGCTGCCTCTCACTAATAAAATGGGGCATCATTGCCCGATAGACAAGCAATATCTAAAACTACGCCTTCGAAGTATCTCACCGGCCTGCACAAGATCACCAGTGTGCTGATTCTTTGTGCAGACTGCACATACCCCAATAAATTGAAGCTGAACATGCAACCTTTATAATACTGTGGGAAGGAAGAGGAAAATTGACATACATTTAAGAACGGAAGTGTACACGTGCGTGTGACACAGGGGTAAGCCATTCTGAAGCTGTATCATTCTAGTCCAGAGTCTGGAGGACATGATGGATTTTGGAGGACGTACAGAAAGATTCACTTGGGCGAACATGCAAGCGGATGTCGCTAACTACATAAAGACAGGCGACGAATGTCATGTCTTCAAAGCAAAGTTCAGGCCACGAGATAATAAAATGGTAATACCAATGTACACTGAGGTACCCTTTGAAATACTGCGTCTCGACTTTGCGGCAGTCACGGAGAAAAGTGTGGGCAAGCATTTTTGGCTGCCGTGGATCATGGCACACGCTATTGTCCTGCTAAGGCCGGCTGTGAAGATGCTCAGTTGGTCATATAACTACTCGAGCGGAATCTGCTCAAGGAAGCTAAAACTATACTGGCTGACAACAAACCAGCTTTTCGAAGTTTTAAGCTTCGATGATGGGCAGAAGAACAAGGCAATATATTACGCTTCCCAGCAGCATACAACCCTGACGCTAATTATATTGAAGAGATGGTGATTAGAGACCTGAAGATGTTTCTGTCTTTCTACCAGTACTTCAAAGGTGGATGGAAATGCGCACTGTAGGTGTGCTGTGGCACGTCACAATCGCCCCTATATACTGCGCGGCTTGGATGCAGCCCCAACTTTGCCTCTTTCAGAAAATCAAGCTGCTTCCGTGCTGATTGACAACTTGGGTTAGTTGACGAAACCGTTCTCAAGGACAAACGTACAAGAACGAAAACCACAATGTGGCCAACAGTGAAAAGGTACTTCGACAAGCCTCATCGATGAGATATATCCGATGCGCAACCTGGAAGTATGGTTCTTGTGCGCAAAGGTCTCGACATCAAATCTCCGTTCATGGGTCCCGGCTTCATTACGATGATGGCAAGACAGCAAGGCATGCTGAAGACAGTATACTACCAGGGACCTCGGGACAAGATCCAAGAGGTGTCTCTTTCAAATATCCTTCCATACCATCTCCGGAGAAATGAAAACAGGGGCCCCAGAGTATATAGTGTTCCAAGAGAATCAGTTAGAGAAAGCGAGAAAAAAGAGACTAGAGGTAGAGGTGGAAGAGGTCAGCAGCAATACAAATGAAATGGCTGAAAGCAAACTACTTTCGTTAGAAGCTTATAATTATAAGTACCTAGACTGTCATATGGAAGAAACTATGTTACTACAGTTATTTGCTAGTTCGTTGTGAAAGCTGGACCAGGACACTGACATATTTAAGGTGTATATGTTGTGCAATTACAACTTACACTTTTGTAACGTACACAATCTCAGAATAGTACACGCAGCGGAATGCTCAGGTCTGCCATTTCGTGAACTCCATAAACAAGCGAGTGAAACTGAAAGATGCGATTGTTTCCGCATTACCTTTAAGTTACGCCAATATGCCGTAGCAAAACTGCTAAGTAAGAACTTAAGTCCTCTGTTACCGAATTGGGTGTACACAAAGAGCACCATCTTTAACGCGCCAGTTAAGCGTCTGCCGAAACTAGGCTGGGGTTGCTCTAGTCACTCTTAGTTGATGCCTAGACATCACATTTATTCATGTTCTAACGTGGTTGCATAAGTAAATATGTCGCGTACTAGCATGCCTGAGATTCATTACTTATCACACGGGTAGCCTAAAGAAATTGGTGAAAGGGATCATTGACCATACAGCTGCCATTATACTATCGATGGTGTTATGTTTTGCCGCTCATAAGTTGATCGTGCGGATGGGACAGCACCAGAAGTTTCGTTATTCAAAGCTTCTTTCTCGACTCTCTCTCGGTAACTATACACCACTTATCCTCTGGAATGCAAACTACGTCCGTCTCCTCCGCTGCTGGGGACAAATACACAATGTGAAACGAACCCGCTCTGCTAACCGGCTTGGAATGTTTGTGGTTTAGAGATAAGTCGCCGCGGCCGGGGGCAAACGCACAATGGGATTAAGCGACCCCGTCCTGCCTCCCCTGCCGGGCGCGAGCTCAGTGGAAGTAGGCGACACGCTCTGCCCTGGCGATCGGCCCAAAGTCGCAGCGATGCACGACCCGAGCACAGGGAAAGCGGAGAAAGTCAAAAGCCGCTTGCTACCTGCGGGGACAATTACGTTCCGCGCGCAATCATTCAATTTCCGGCTTTGGAGGTTCGTCTCGGCTCGCTGGGTGTGGGAAAGGGCATGAATGTACCGGGTCTACAATGCCGATATCTCCCGAGCGTTAGAATTCCTGAGCGCGGGGGAGGTGGAGAGAGAGAGATATGATGGGAAAGAGTATCAAAACGCCTGTTTAAACTGTAGAAGCGCTGCTGTCGAGAGTAAGGTCAGCCCAGTAGGGAGTGACTTAATCTTAGTGGAAGCAGATTGGATGAGAGAATGTTGAGGCGGACCAGCAGTGGCCCCCTCCCCTTTTTCTTTGTTACCGCAAGATGCTTAAGACTGGAGGCAATCCGTTTCTCTTCAGTCGAGGCTGCAATCACCTAACTGATAGATCAGTACGACTCCGTACGATGCAACTTTTGTCTGGGCCGTAACCACTTGGTGGTCGAACAGTGAGACTAAGTACGTTGTATGTAGTAACAGTGTTCTAGGCTCTAACTTAAGAAAAGTTAAGTAGAAGAGTAAGACGCTGTTGATGTCTGTGTTATCATGAGTGTGCTTCGGCAAGATGTACATATGACTGTAAATATTTCGCTGTAATATACCTTCAAGTTTTCATTACCTCCAACCTGCCTCCTGCTTCATCGACGCCGATCATCTCCTTGACGGGACTTCAATCCATATCAAGGAGATCAACGAACAAAAAGGAAAACTTAACTGATGGGAATTCCGTCAACGTAGGAGAAAAAATGGACAGGTAGTAAATGAAAGAGGACTGCCACTTTCGTTCTGTAAAACACAACATTAACGTATCCGATCACTGGACTAATGTAATACACAATATTTCCTTTCGTGGCGGCTGCTTCTAACATGTATCGCAGATGGGAGCAGTTGTCACTTACCGGAGGATGCCAATTTAATCTTTCTTCACAATATGGAGTGGTCTAAATGTTCGCCAAATGTTTTTGAATGCATAGTGTTATACTGGGACAAGAAAAAGGAACGCACCTAATTAATGGTGACTGGCATTTCAATAGTAGTAGACGCACATTTTGGACAAAAGATTCGACTAAGTATATTGTAATTAAGAAACGCAATGTCTGAGCATTTACCTCTCGCATTAGTTCTAACGTGTGCAGGATTACAAGTAGTGCTGCCTTACCTGCAAATGCACAGGTGTGCCCTACTGCCAACTTCTTTTTCCGGCTAAATGTGCGCTTTCAAATGGTAATCGACACTCTTGTTGTCCTATTATCTTCTCTTACGAGTGTGTCTGGACACCTTACTGTTCGGCACCGTGGCCGAGCAAACAAGATGAGGACAAAGGTTGGTGCGAAGACACGGCGAGTCGTAAACCTTCAACTATTTGAACAACCAGTTGACCAACAAGTTGAAAATTTGCCGCCCGCTTCGTCCTACCTCCCTCTGTACTCGTCTTTTTTGTGCGGTCAAGCTATCAAAGAGTAGGCACCAACCAGGCCAGTCTTAATTTCCCCTTAGGACGCCTTACGTCTATTTAGAATGAAACCTCACTTCCAGGCTCAACACTGTTGTCTTCCTAATGTTTGGTTTTCGTTCCTATTTGTGTTGGCCCTGTACAAGCCCTACGCTGATGTCACTCACGCGCACTCAAGTGCAGTACATGCGCGTGGCATTAGAGTAGAATTTGGAGTGTACGTCATTCACTAACCTTTCGCGTCAACCAAACAAGAGCTATTCACATTTAGAATCCTACCTTCAGGTGTCCTTGTGCATTCAAGACATGTACAAAACCTAAGGGCTGACGCTAACCTGAGCAGCCCGTTGAATGCGACGCGCCAACGGCGGTTGGGAGCCAAGCATTGAAGCCGGAGACCAGCGGCCGAGAAGCAGCTTCCCGCGCTGCGGTCGAGTGTAAGTGAAACGGGCAGGGAGTAGAGCGCTCCATCAGCTGTGTAAAGGATAATCCATAGTTCGGCCAGGTGGTTCTGTAGGCGGGAGACGCTCACCACTAACCGATCGCCACCAGTGTTCACACCGTTGAAAAGTACCTTGTCTTGACCCTGCGAGTGCATTGGTGCGTTTTTTCTCTCGCACACACTTGAAGACAGTATCCGCAATGTCATTCCGCATATGGAGATGCAAGCATGAAGCTTTTCATTTGTGATGAGCAACTATGAGATGTTGAGGTGATATTCGCATTACATGAACCATTTACAGCTAAGACAATACCTTACGAATTATTTATAGGCTGAGCTTAGCTAATTCACAGTCGTGTTGACAGCTTATGATACCCGCACAGTTAGGAAACCTACAACGCACAATGCGTTGCCTCTCTCCTTACAATCTTTAAACAGTGCTGCTTGCGGTAATTACGGCAGCGATGAAACTATAGAGCACGTTCTCTGTCACTGCCCTCGTTACAGCGTGCAAAGACGGCAACTAGCTGCTGCGTTAGCTCGCCTTGACGACAGACCTTTGTCTGAACAATCAGTGCTGGAAAGACGACATGATTTGTGTGCTCACAGAAAATCAGTAAAGGCCTTACTGAACTTTTTGCGTGGCAGTGGCCTATTGTATAGACTATAGCACCCCAGCTCCCCCCCCCCTTTTTTTTGCGCGCGTCTATTTCCCTTTTCGCTTTCTTTCAAATCTTTCTTCCCCATTTCCCTAATGCAGGGTAGCAAACCGGATGCTCCATTTTCTGGTTAACCTCCCTGCCTTTCCCTCATTTTATTCTCTCTCTCTACATGTACTGGCATAAATAGTAAGTACTCCAACTGTAGTGCCTGACTCCAGGTGCTATAGCGTAAACTTCAAGACTGTGCACCTTACAGCAATCTAACAAAAACAAACTAAATCATCCCTCACAACCGAAGGAATTACATGTATCACAAAAGCCGGACATCTGATGCCTGTGTCCCTTACACGCATCTTGAAGAAAGCTTCCCACTGCCTGCTACTACGCAGCAATACTTTATAGGTAATATATTGTGGTATCAGTTTTCTATGAGAGCATCAATAATTACAAATTAATATATCGTTAGAGAGCGACAGTGAACTTGAGTGTATATCTTTGCGACATATTACCGGGCACTACCTTACAGTCTGCTTATGAATTCCTACTTTTTTCAGCTCTCCCTTTTCCCGTGCACATTCGAGTGACCATTCCAGTGGGGTGCAGATGGCTCCACAGTCGATGACATCATCATTGTGTGCAGGTGCCAAGTACCGGAAGCGTCGATCTTTCCTTCGCAGCAGGTATGTAAGCTGGGCCACGGACAGCAGATATCTGAACAGATGGCTCAAACCTGCGCAAAAGGCCCTTCCTTGGTCAATGCCATGCACATAATCAATATATATGTGCCCTGCTTTTTCTTGCATATTCAATGACCTCGTCGCTTTTTTTCAGTAAACGATACCTTACAGTAAAAGTTGTAAGCATGCTGCAAGTGTATTGTAGCTCCAGCGGAATATTTGCCGATACGACAAAAACGGCCATGCTGTTTTCGCACGCGAGAAAGATATTCCGCAGAATAAACTCTTTTCTATATTTTCTTCACTTAGCAGGACACGCTTCACCATACGCAAACCTGCTTCTATCTATCTATCTGTCTATTTATCTACCTATCTCTTTATCAGTTTATCTATCTACCTATTCCTGATGACTCTCCATGCTGCTTTTCAAAGTGTCTTTGAACGTCACCGGCCCCGCCGTGGTGGTCTTCAGAAAAACGCGAAGGCAAAGCGATATACAAGAGGTAAGGTTCCATCGTTATCAAATGTCGTCCAGACAGGAGATTTCACAATCTAAATACAATATAGACGGTGAGCTGACACAAATATCGAAATTATTTTTTTATGAAAAAGACTTGATAGAGTTGTGTCAGCTCACCATCTATATCGCACTTAGATTGTAAAATTTTGTTTCTTAAAGAAACTTGATCACGATAAAGCTTCTCTTCTTGTATTTCCCTTTCCCTTCATGTTTTTGTGGTATATCTTATCTTCGGTCAATAAACCCATGTTTCAGTCTGAGCTTCTTTGTCTCCTTCTTCTGCAACCCATTAGTTCGCGCTGCCAATATTTCTGTATCAACCTTATTCGAGCTTTCCGCATTTCATCCTATGTGCTAAGGTATGATCGGAATGGTTCTTACAGAAACACAAGGTAAATGTATGGAACAAATATAGAAAATATATCAATTTCGGAGAGAATTCTACTTAGTTCATTGCAAAGCAAAGAGTTGACCGAGTTCTGAAATCCCCTACTCAGGTGAATAAAGCATAAAACCACGCTTTGATCGCAAGTATTTGTTGTTATAGCTGACAACACAGCGCCACATTGTACAGATCCTGTGGATAATATTGCTGCAGGAGCGGTCATTTCATGGCCGGACCTTAGTGGAAAAGACATGCTAAAATGTGTGAGGCACTAGCTACAAAAGAAGTTATTTCAAGTGGGGGAAATCGAACTAGAACCGTCAACTATAGCATTCCTTTTAAGGCTGAATATTTTGCCCCATAAAACCACCTAGTATTTATTTTGAACGAACCACTTGTCTAAATAACAGTAAGAATTTATGCTGGTGGTGACCTTCAGCTGATTAATATAATAATTTTGAAAACGGTGTACTAAAAGCAACTCTCTATAAAAAACCATTTGACAAGCAACAATACTTAGATTATACAAGCCATCACCCGATACACCATAAACAGGGCATTTTCAAGAGTCAGGCAAGGTTACGCCACATACGAGTAGAAAACTAAGACTACGTGAACACACTTACCACCCTATAAGGAACACTATCAGACAAAAACCACCCTAACACATTCCTTCACAAAGCCTATACGGACGCACTGGAACTGGACCACAATGAAGCACTCAAACGACGTCCCAAAAGCACAACAATAGCAACTACACCTCTTCTGGCTACAAAGTTTTCTAATGCACTCCCTCACATGAACAACATCCTCACAAAAGAGTATCAAATTTAACCACCAACGATAAACTTAAGAAAATCTTTCCCGAACCGCCTAAAGTCACCTACAGACGCAATGATAACCTCAAAGACATGCTTGTTCACGCAAAACCTAAAGCAACGAGTAGGACAACGTCTGGTCCCTGTGGCTGGCCCAGGTGCTCCACCTACAAACACATACAGCCGGCTACCAGCGTAAAAAGCACAGCATCTGATTCAATTCACAAGGTCGCAACGAGCTCTACCTGCACTTCAAACAGCCTAATATACTGTCTTGAGTGTGCCACCTGTAAAAAGGAATATATAGGCGAAACTAGGCAACCGATTCACGTAAGACTGAATGGCCACCGTGCAGACACAAAGCCCAATTTGCCAAAAGCAGTAGCCGCTCACTTCAACGAAGAGGACCACAATTTTGACCAAGCAAAGCTTTCCGTTATAAAAACTGATTTACGGTCACCACGAGAGAGAAAATACATGGAAATATATTTGATACACAAATTTAAGTCCCTACACCTATCAGGAATCAATATAGAGCGTGGCAATTCGGAATCACGGAAAGCCATAGCATAATTGAGGAAATATTTGCAGAGACAAGATACAATCAACCTTCATATAGACATAACCAGTACTACATTGAATCGCTTCTAGCCCGCATTTCTTACTATTAATGTTCACGTTCAATTTTTCAATATGACTTTGTGTATATACAACTACGAAATTTCTTATTTTTAGAACCGTTAAACCACTGCTTTGTTTCCTCTTTCATCGTTTCTAATACCACTCCTACCGCGCATCGTTATAGGACATTGCCAACCCAGAAAGTTCTCTGCGTCCTTCCTCTCTCTCCTTTTTTTTCTTCTTTTTTACCGTCTGTTTACCCTAACGTCCCACTTATCCCTCCGCCTTTTCTCTCCCCCTTTGTTTGTGTGTGTTTCTCTCCTCGTTGCTTATTTTCTTTGCATTCTCAAATTTTTTTGTCAGCCAACATGCCGCCAAATTCTTGCATCAATTTCGCTGAGCGGACCACCTACGGGGATACGGAAAGCATGTTTTAGCCGATGACCTTCCCCAGTAAGCACACGCTTTTCAGAGCCCATCCAGTGTTGCTTACCTCCGACATCTTGGCGTTTAAAAATACGCCGCCTGCTTCCCCGCCTGTTTGTAACTGCTTTCTTGTTGTATGCCTCATTCATAGGTTTTCGGGAACAGGCGTACACCGCTATTGTCGGCAAGGTTTTTTGGTAGCCGGACGCGGAGACGGTCTGCCTGCTCCGAAGGTTTAAGCTCTTTCACTTGTTCGAGTATGAAGCGGCCGCCCCTTTTGCAGCACATCACTCCAACTTTGCGCTTTTCCTTTTTCCCCACTCTCTGAGAACATTTTTGAATCACTACCACCTGACTTGAAGTGAAGGGAGGACTGCCCTCTTCTGCTTTATAGTATTTTGCTTTTCAGACGACGATCATCAACAGGGACACGCGCCACCACCATTAGATGACGTCGCCACTAACCCCTTTAAAACTAACACGCCAAGGATGACACGGCGCCTTTAAAAAAGATAGGTCCTCGTACCGAAACGTCGGCCAGCCACTCTGAGGCACATCCACTGTTTATTTTATGATTATCCCACTACAATATCTCCACTTGTGTTTCAGAGACCCCTTACAAATTGTGCACTCGTGGTCACAGATCACAGCCGTGGCATAGCCATAATAACAATATTGAAGAGAAAATAACAAGTTTATAATTATTATGATTAATATTATTAAGTATAATAATAATATTATAATAATAATAATTATAATAATAATAATAATAATAATAATAATAATAATAATAATAATAATAATAATAATAATAATAATAATAATAATAATAATAATAATAATAATAATAATAATAATATAACTATGAAGGGTTCTGAGGCACACCACGGCGATGAGCCCCAAGTTGCGATTGCCCGGGATGCTTTACCATGCACCTAAGTCTAAGTACTTATACTTTCGAATTTCACCGCCATCTGGACGCGACCGCTGTGACCCTGACTTAACCGACTTCCTTTGGGACAGCTGCCCAACACCATAAGCTCTGTACTACCTCGGCGCCAGAAATAAAACACCTAAACACACATATGCCTTTAAAACCAATTTACTAATCACGATCTTCATGGTGAGACGTGGGAAACGGTTCTTCTGTCGAAGCTTGGAGGCGGTGGGTTCATACATCATGCGGCTTAATGTGGACCCACTACCGGTGGAACCGTGTATAAGCGCATCTACACCTCCACGCTAGCGTGAGGGGTGTATAAGGTGCACAGCGACCGATCCCTGCACCCTTTGGGTAGCAGCTACTAGTTGAACATAATTTCACTTTGATCAAGACTGCAAAGGTCGAACCTCCAGCAGTGCTTGCAATGCATCTGGGTAAAGGAGAGAAGGTGTGGGTTAAGGCGTTAAGAGGATGATGCTGCGCAAACAACAAAAGCTCTGTCCATAAAACCAGCTGAATAAATTTACGGCAAGTTAGTACGCATTCAGTTTTGGAACTATCAAGTAGTTTCGCTGTTTCTATCTACGTAGTTCTATCTACTACGCCTACTACGACTACGTCATTCTATCTGGCTAATCAATCGGAAATAAGCTTGTTTTCCAGTGGCACAAATCAACGCTGTCGTTTTTGCTCACTACAGTAATACTTCAGATTTTTGTTGTGATTAACAAATGATGTCTTGGGTTTTACGTCCAAAAGCCACAATATGATTACGATACACTCTATAGTGGACGGCTCCAAAAATTTTGACCCTCTCGTGTTCTTTGGCGTGCACTGACATTGCACAGTACAGGGGTCTCTACAACCTTACTTAGTCGAAACGCGGCCGCCGTGGCCGGGATCGAACCCATGACCTTCGGCTCAGCAGCCGAGCACCGTAGCTACTATTCTACAGTGGTGGATTTCTGGTGGATTATTATGAAGGAAACAGTAATCACATGAACCATGAACAAAACAGTCATATTACGTTGTCATCGATTCTTTCAAGAATTCTACCAATCACCTTTTCAGTACCCATGACCACACTTGTAGTCATTTGTTGTAACTAACGCAGTTGTTTCTCAAACGAAAATTTTTATTGGCAACTTGAATTCGCTGCATACAAAACGTTACTTTTCCTAAGCTTCACAAGATGACGTTCCTAGTCCTGCGTATGTGACCCTTAGTGAGTTTTTAAATGTCCTTTCTCAAAAAAAAAACCCAGCCTCGACTTCCACCCGCTTAGACACAGAAGGTAGCAGTTACGCAAAATGATTTATTCCGCTTTAGCATGTTTCAAA